CCCCAAAACCCCAAAACCCCAAAACCCCAAAACCCCATTAAATATCTTGTTAACTGAAGTCATTTCTAATTATTTTATCAACAACATTGCAATGGCAGTCAGTATGCCAAGGATCAGAACAACCTGAATGTTAGAAATCCAGGACAGCTTGGACATTTCACTCTGAAACTGGGAAGATAGCTTTGCTTTACTTCCAAGTGAACTTGAGTTCGCTTTCTTCTTTAGCTCATTTCTTTGAGCTTGAAGTTCCTTAATCTCCTTCTCAGCTTGATTTGTCTTAATGAGCACCTTTTCAATACCGTAAAGCAAACTACTGATGCCTTGGTCAATGCTGATGTCCTCGTTCAGGTTGGAATCAAGGAAGATTCTGTATAACTCAATTCAGATTTTATTCTCAATATCTGAGATTCTCTGATTCTTCTTCCTCTCTTTGACTATGAGAATGAGTCTGACCCACCTACCTCTTCTAAGCTCATCATATAAGTCATTCATCTTGTGTTGGGCCTCTTTGATGCTGATTTCTATTTCTTTCCGGTGCTAAATCTGATTAATTTTCCTAAAAATTGAGTGATTTACCAGCTGCTCTCTCTCAATATTAGCCTCATCTTTCATGAAAATCAATCTGTTGCTTCTTTGGTTCTAATAATTATTCCCTTAGCCTACTTTTAAAGCGCTTTGCTCGAGTAAGTCGTATTCAGCATTTTTAGCTTTAATTTTATCCTCGATTTCATGAATTTCTGCAGTCAAGTCATTGTGTCTTTTCTGGTCTTTTGAAATAGCTTCCCTCCATTGAGCTGAATCTAGAAGAAATCAGTGAGTTTAGTCATACCTTTCATGAATTTTTCAATCAAGATATCCAGTTCTTCCTTCATTTTTAAGCAATTTTCCTCCTTGGTTTGGATTTCATACGTAAGTCCTAGAAGATTAAGGTCACATGAGTACTCTCGAGTTTTTCATTTGTGGATTTGAAATCATCAAAGAGCTGGTCGATTTTGGACTCACACTCTTTACCTCGTCTTTCCATGTCAATTTTAGCACCGAAGCATTTCTTGTAGAAGTCATTCTCGTCCTCAAAGGCCTTCTTGAGGGCATCGCATCTCTCTTTGAGAGATGCTAGTTGGGGCTTCTCTCCTTCGAGGATGGCAGAGATCTTCTTTGGGTCTACATCAATATACTGTTTGATCTCTTCACGAGTGTTGTTAGCACCTCTTACTGATTTTAGGTAGGACATTCTACTAGTGGAGAGAGCCACGTTGTCTAGCATATGGCGATCTGAGAGGTAATGAGTAAGACTTACCGAGCTCTGTCTCTTCTTCATGTTCGTATTTTGACAAATGTGGCATCCATGAGGAATCACTTTTAGTAGTGTATCTTTGTGTGTAAAATCCATTTTCGTTATTTTTCGGTCTTGTGATTAACCCGCTGTTGTTTGGGATCTGAAGATGGGAATTTCTCTGGTTGAGCCCAGGATTGTAGTTGACCCTCTCTGTGAGACCTGCTATTTCTACACCTCTCGCACTGATTTGCTGATCGCTCTTAAGTGCATCTTTGAATTCTCAAGTGTTATTTTTCATCTCGTCTAATGGGACCTTTTGCTCTGGAGAATGTGTATACAATGGTTCATAAGTTGAATCTTTCAATGGCGAAACTATATACTGCACATCATTGTTATTTTCTTCCCCATATAAGTTATCATGGTTTGCTGCTGGGTTGGAAAGAAGGTTATTTAAGAAATCATGGTCAATATCTGTGATCGGTTGGACACCTTCACCTGCATCCACTTCTTTCTCTTCTGGATTAATTTTTGTGCTACTTCCAAATCCAAAATTGATGGTTTCCTTATGCTCTTCTGCATCACTGTCTTGCTTGAAAGAATTGATTTGGTCTCCTTGGAAGACATTATTAGGGATATCTGACATGGAAAGGCCTTGGGTTCTAGTTTTCTTTACTCTTTTACGATCTACATTGAAACCTTCATCTTCAAAATTTTCTCTGTCTTTCTTCTGCTCAGGAGTTTGCTCGTTACCGAAAGTCTGAAGTTCCTCCGGATCTACATTAAAGCTAATCTGTTCATTGTCTAAAAAATCAGGTGTTTAGGAGACTTTGCAGTTGTTGGCTTACCGATGTTCAGCTCCTTTTCAGACATTTTGAAAATATTTGAATATCAGGAGGGGTTTTGGGGTTTTGGGGTTTTGGGGTTTTGGGGTTTTGGGG